GAGGGCAGGGTCCCAGCCAGCTGGTCTCAGTCCAGACACCAGATGACCCAGCCCCAGACACTACCCAAATGAACTTGCGTCAAAGACCCCAAGGAAGAGCAGCAGAACTGTTCTGCTGAACAAGTCATCTCATAGAAAGAAGCAGGAGACAACACTGGCTGGCTCAGTCACTATGTTGTTTCCAGCTGAGACACGACCACTTGTGAGATGATCCTTGGTCTACCTGACCTTAAAGTCTTTTCCTTTCTACCCATCCTTGTTCACTGGTTAGAAGCCTTGTGTGACATTCCATCTCCTGAGGACATTGATTAAATCTGAATATTGGAGAAAGGGAACATAGAAATATCCCAGGATTTGAGAACCATGGCTCTCTCCACTCTTTCCATAATATGGTCTAAAGTTAAGAATTGCTCGGTACATTTATTTAAAAAAACAGATTCTTGCTTGCATTCCAACAGCTTGAGTGATCCCATTAGAGGGCCTTTCAGTCTAGCACTGACACACTCCTCCTGATGAATCTTATGCTCAACTTATGCTCAGCAGAGAAACGGTGAGTGTCCAGGTCTTGGGTGTGTAAAACTGTGCAGCAGTTTCTTAGAATTCAGGATATCCTTACCAAACAATCCAGCCATTCTGCTTGGATATTCTCACCTCAAATAAGTGCTGATGTCCACCACAAACAGGCATAAAACTATACACAGCCACTTTATTCAAGGTAGTCCCAAATGGGAAGCATCCCCAATGGCATTCATAGAAGCACCAATAAATTATAGTGTGTACACACAATGAGATATAGGCAGAAAGAGAATGATGTATGAGCCAGGCATGGTGGCACATAGCTATAATCTCAGAACTCTGGGAGGTTGAGGCAGGAAGATCACAAGTTTGAGCTCAGCCTGGGTGACTTAGTGAGATCTTGTCTCAAAAAGAGAGTTGGGGGCCGGAGAGATAGCTCAGTGGACTAAGTGCCTGCTTTGGCAAGTGCAGGGACTGGCTGGGGTTCAATCCCTGGTCCCACATGCCATTCTCAGGGCACACTGAGCATGGTCGTGCATGCCTATAATCCCAGTGTTGAGGAGGTTGAAAACAGGAGGATCACTATGAATCTGAGCTGTGTAGTGAGACCCTGTACCAAATACATAAAATGAGAAAGAGAGAGAGAGAGAGATGCCAACAGTAAAAGTGTGGATGTATGAATTTTGCAGACATTCTGTCGAGTGAAAGAAGCCAGATATAGAAAGTAGATTCCATTTAAATGAAGTTCGAGGTCAGACAAAGCTAATCTATGGTGATGGAGATCAAAATAGAGGTTATGTCTGTGTGGGTGCATGTGTGTAAATTCTGCTCACAACATGCAAGGGAGGCTTCCCAGATGGTATTTAGAATCATAAAACAATCAAGGTTTTAGTAGATATCAGCACTTATTTAAGATGGGAATACCCAAGAGTGGGTGGCTGGGCTTAGTAAAAGCTGAACTCTGGGAAAATGCTCTAGTTTTCCACACCTGAGAGCTGCAAACGTCTGTATAATTTTTCATACCTGAGAGCTGGTATGGAAATCATTATTTGCATTTGGGGCTCTTGAGATGCTTTTCTTGCTTATTTGCTTATTGGAGATGTACATTATACATTGAGATGCTGACAATAGTGACCTAAACCTGAGTGTAGAGACTAATCAATGTAACATGTTCACATTGAGGATTGAGCCTGGTACAACATACTATTCAAGGTCCCTGGAAAAAGAACCTAAGACCCTGTCTGCACGGATTTAAAATTTGTAGGGGGAGACACTTCAATACAAGATTGATACATTAATATAAGGCTGTGAGCTATATGTTTGCTTGTTTCAGGTTGTTTATGGAACACTTACTTTGTGTCAGGCATTGGACTAGACATGGGAAATGGAGTAGAAACCCAAACTCATCCCTACCCTGAAGGTACTAATACCATAGTCTAGTTTTGACCTGCTCTGTTTCCAACCTGGGCTGGTTCATCCCTCCGTAGCATAATCTAGTTTTGAACAATGTACTCCCTATTTTACCTTCTTAACATTTTCCAAAGTTATTCATCGTCTCCCATTTTTCTAGTTCAACCCCCATCTTTTCTGCTCTATGGTCTGTCATGATTTTGCTTCTGATTCATTCTCCAGACCAACAACCCCTATGGTGCTTGATTTAAAAAAAATCAGAATTGAATGAGGATATAGCTCAGTGGTAGAGTCCTTGCCTAGGATATGTGAGACCCTGGGTTAGAACCTCAGTACTGGAAAAAAAAAATCAAAACAAAACAATAAAAGCCTAAATTCATAGTCCAGACCACTTTGGTGCCACCCTGTATAAGCTCAAATCCTCAGTTACAGGGTGCAAATTGTGCCAATATGTAACTTCCCCCATGGTATGTTGCATTACTGATCTGCACTGCCTGGTGATAGCCAGCCAGGGCTTCTGTCCACTGATGTATCCTTTCATTTCAAAGCCTTGAGCCTCTTCCCTGCGTACTTCTGTCTTACTCAGTTGCAGACTCAGTCCAAACACTGTCTCTTTCAGGAGCCTTGTGTGAGACTGTCTAGATGGCTGGGTCCCTCCTGCCCCCTATTTGGGGCTTTATGATGCCCAAGGGGAACACGTCTGTCTGCCTCCTAGTTCCATGTTTCAATTTGCTTGAGTGTGATTCCTTGCTAGGCAAGCTACCTCTAGATGCCTGAATTTCATTTTTCTTTATGCCCCCTACCGTGGACACTGTGAGTCCATGACACAGGACACGACATGACAAACTTTTTTTTTTTTTTTGTGGTACTGGGATGAAACTTAGGCTCTTACACTTGCCAGGCAGATGTTTAAACCACTGAGCTATCTCCCTGGCCCATGACAAGCATTTTCTTAGTAGGGTAACATTTGTGTTGGCTGTGAAGTATGGGTAGGACTTTTTAAAAACTTACCTTAAAACAAATTGTACATGTACATAATATCAAATCCAAAAGGAACAAAAGGGCTTAGAAAGAAAATTAAAAGTAGGTCACCATCCAACCACCCAGTTCTCCTCCCTAGAGGCCACCATCTGTATCACTTTCTGAATATTCAGTGCAGGCGAGGATTGTCAGGCTCCTTTACCAATCCCCTCCCTTATTTTGTAAAAATTTAAACCAAAAGAAAAGTTGTGAGGATAGTACAGTATACACCCTTTGCTTAGATTTACCATTTAATGTTTCATTGCATTATACAAAATATTTTATAAGCATTACGTCTCTTAATGCTGCAATCATGTCAGTTTTGTGTATGTGGTCACTGAGGCATCTGGCAGGTGCCCAACACCACAGAGCTGAGGTGTGGGGCTGGGATCCCCCCGCTTAGGCTACTGGAGGACTTTGATCTGCCTTCCTTCTGCAGAAAAGTGTTTCTTACTCAAAGAGAAAATCCACTTCCTTGGGACAGTCACCATCTCGTTCAGCCCCCATTTAGATCAGTGGAAAAGTACATAGCTCTAGAAGCATTCGCTCCTTCTCCTGAAGCTGTCCCATTCCTTAAGCAACAGCTGCTGTCGCTGCTGCCACCACAAGCTCAAAGTCACCTCCACTATGAAGGCTGAGTTTGCTCACCTCATTTATAAATCCACAGTGACTCCCACCTGCCATGCCTGCTACTGAAACCCAAGGGTCTCATCAGATCCCAGACCTTTACCCCTTTCCTTTTTGCCCTTTCTTACTCCATCTTTACTTTCAGCTGCAGTGAAATTCTCAGGATCTCCTTATAGCCACTCTGCTGCTCCTGGAAGCCCTTCACACTCTCCTAATGTATGTGTTTCCCTGCTTCCTGGAACCCTCCGGTTTTCAACCAGTGTCTTCAGCAGTGCTTCCAGGTTTGCTTCTGCCAAGGAGACTGGATGATGGAATCCTACTGTGGCAGCCTGGCTCCTTCCTAGTAGAATGACCCTGTACAAATGACTCCTTCGGATGTCTGAATGTCTGAATCTTCATTTCCTCAAGCACATAATGAAGGAAGGAATGCCTAGTCGAAGACCTACTGAAGTCAGTGTTTACTAATTTCTCAGAAGTGACAGCTCTTCGAGGCTGCTAACTTCTTAGTCATCCCTGGAAACACTACCTCCTGTTACTGTTTCTCTATTCCTCTGTTTCCTCATATGTAAAATATGGATGACTACAGAGAGGTTATAAACTTAAATGAGCTAAAGCGTTTGCAGCAATTGGAACAGTACCTAGCCCTTATTTATTATTGATAATGCTATCTATGACCACGACGACCGGGCCTGGCACACAGTAGGTGCTAAAGTAATTGTTTTGCCATAGTGCGTAGCCTGGGCGCGGGAAGAAAGACCACCGAGGAAGCAAGGGGCTTGCTGAGCACCCGCCCCAGGTCGGCTCCGCCTTCTCTCCAACCCTTGAGGGCCCCCTGCCCGGTCTCAGCAGCTGTCAGGCCCACTGGCCTCGGCGCCAGTCCACCAAACCTGAACGTCCCATCCCGGCGCCCCCACCTTCCTTTGCCTGCACAAGTTACCTTGCGCTTGGCCACCCTCAGCCCCGGCCCCGACGTCCATTGGCTCAGGGGTTTCTTTG